GGATTACAGGCATGTGACACTACGCCTGGCTAATTTTTGTATTTTTAGTAGAGACAGGGTTTCATCATGTTGGTCAGGCTGGTCTCAAACTCCTGACCTCAGGTTATCCACCCACCTTGGCTTCCCAAAGTGCTGGGATTACAGGCGTGAGCCACCATGCCTGGCCCCATTTTGCTTTATTTTAAAAGATGTGGGCCTGACCAGTAGGCAATGAATTTGCCATTGGGTCAGCATCATCCTATGCATGAGGAGGGGGTCTAAAATCTTGAGGATTTTGATGAGTTACAACTTTGTCTAGAATCAGACTGGCTTTTGGATACATAAAAAGTTGATTTTGCTCAAGAATGTCGATTTAAGGCTTCATATAAAGATTTCCTACAGCAGGAGAAGACACAGACACAATTTAGGATCCAAGATGCCGCTATGAAATGGGCTTACAACTCTTATCCTTTGGGCTTTAAAAGAGAAAAATACAAGAACGCTCCAAAATACTGATGCTGAAAATATAGATGACTGTGAAACAGCAGAGTATAGCATCAAAACAGCAAACTATATAAATTTTTTAAAGTATTAAAGAAAAAGGGTGGCCAGGTGTAGTGGCACAAGCCAGTAATCCCAGCACTTTGGGAGGCCGAGGTGGGCAGATAACCTGAGATTGGGAGTTCAAGACCAGACTGGCCAACATGGCAAAACCGTGTCTCTACTGAAAATACAAAAATTAGCTGGGAGTGGTGTCACACGCCTGTAATTTCAGCTACTTGGGAGGCTGAGGCAGGAGAATCACATGAATCCAGGAGGCAGAGGTTACAGTGGGCCGAGATTGAGCCACTGCACTCCAGCCTGGGCTGGAGTGAGACTATCTCAAAAAAAAAAAAGAAAAGAAAAAAAGGGTGACGCTTTCTTGTGTGAACATTAGACATAAAAGTGGAAAAAGAAACTGAAGAGTAGATAAAAGCATAAATTAATCCAATGATATGGAATTTTCCTATGAGCAATGAACCCACAAAGTGAGAGCTCTGAGGATAAAAGGTGATGATCCTGGGAGGAACTATTAGTACATAGTAGTACAAGTTACACTTTTGGAAATGTCCAAATAGAAATGCAGGTATTAAGATGTAGAAAAGGAACACTGGGTAGCTGAAATGTGATGCACTGGCAAGGACAAACACTGCAAAAGACCAGCTAATCACGTTGTTAACAGCCGTAGAGATCAAGGGTACATCTTGTAATGAACCTATTCTGGAGTTATGGAAATGACCGCCAGCTGTTCCCGACTGAAGACGACTTGAGGCACGATGACCCAGAAAGTCCATATGGTTCCAAAGGCAAAAGCTTAATTAGATATATCACTTCTAACTGCATAAATCCACACTCCCAGAAGAAAGGAGATTAACTGTAAGGCATATGTCAGGAGGGTGACTTTCAAACATGCAACAGCTCCAGAGAATGAAACTTGCTACTATTTGACTGTGGCTGTCTTTGTATGGGAGACTTTCAGGGGATGGTTATTTGTGTCTCTTTCAGTGCTGGGTGCATATAACTTCTATAATGAAAAATATTTTGAGGCCGGGTAAGGTGGCTCACACCTGTAATCCCAACACGTTGGGAGGCTGAGGGGGGAGGATTGTTTGAGCCCAGGAGTTTGAGACCAGTCAGCCTGGGCAACATAGTGAGACCCATCTCTACAAAAAATCATTTAAAAATTAGCTAGGAATGGGAGCACATGCCTATATTCCCAGCCACTTGGGAGGCTGAAGTGGGAGGATCACTTTTGCCAAGGAGGTCAAGGCTGCAGTGAGCCATAATTGCACCACTGCACTCTATCAAGCCTGGGTGACAATGAGATCTTGTCTCAAAAAAAAAAAAAAAAAAAAAAAAATTGTGTGTGAAAGTATGCACTATCAGAGATACAAGGAATGAAACTAATCCGGCTCTTTCTATGCTTCTGCGAACTACTCTAAAGATCAATACATCCTGTATTATAAAATAGTCAAGGCATTGCCAAAAGTCATTGAAGAGATTTTTGTTTTTAACTGCTATTTAAACCTGGAAACTGGTCTCAAAGTGACTATGCAATGTAAAAGCTCCATCTGAATATTAGCAAATGACTTTTTATATCATATTATATTTAAAAGGGAATGAGACCGCACAAAATTATGTGTGGGTGTTATGCGACCCTATCTTTATGTACTTCCTGTCATTGCTGGGTTCCTACTGATAGAAGCTTCGTCTTTGCATTGAGGTGTGACCTGAACCTGTAGTGGGGTGATTGGCTCTAACATGGCAAGACTGGTGACAGTGGGAACAGGGGCCCCTTATGGAGTATAATTATGCTTCCTGGTAATTTTCTACTGTGCTACTATTACTGTAAGAAGTCCTCTAGGAAGATCAGGAATCCCCTACCAGGTGTGTCTGTGTTGACACACTCATTTCTCCTTTGTAAATTTGCCCGCCACGCATTTTACGTTCACATCATAGCAATAGGTGATCTGTTAATTTACATCAAGATACCACAATGGAGGTACAATTAATCACTAACTTTCATTCTGAAACCCCTATTCTATGTGTTTCTAGCATTTGGCTCTTGAAGATTATATTAGTGCAGAGTGCCAAGTGGGGAGGGAGGAAGATTTTTTGAGATGGGGGTCTCTCTATGTTGCCCAGGCTGGTCTCGAACTCATGGGCTCAAGCAGTCCTCCCACTTCGGCCTCCCAAAGTGCTAGGATTACAGTCGTAAGCCATTGCACCCAGCCGTGGTTCTTAAGTATTCTTAAGAACACTTTTTTTTTTCATTTTTATTTGTACAAAATCTTCTCCCACCACCCTCAAACAAATGCAGTTTAGACTACAGTGATAGCATTTTGTTTATGTCAAGAAAACAAAGTGTGTATTTCTTTACAAGTAAACTTTGAAAATGCAATTTCATTAGTACAGGAAATTAATAACTTTAGTGTCTTTCCTTCTTCAGCCTCACTCCCCTCATCTACAAGCAGAGTTGGGACTCAATTATTCTGTGAATTTTAACTCCAACTAATAAATTAACCAAGCTTTGAAATTTCTTTGTAAGTATAGTTATAACAATTCACATTGCTGTTTATGCCAGTGGCTTTATTTCAAATGGTAGTTTCTCAGTTGGAGAAGCAGTTCGAAGTCATTTTGAGCTCCGTTAAACTCATTGCTTTATAGAGCTGTGATTACTTTCATGTCCTAATTAAATGGCCACGTCTCTCTCTCGCATCTTGTTTGGAAAGTCACAAGCAATAAAGAACTGTGTTATATTATGACTGATGAGCATTATTTGATTTTTGCTATGCAATATTGCATGTGATATTTACTACCTGTGAACCTGCTTTCAGCATAGGACACAGTTTCTGGAGCAGGTAATGGAAAGGGATTATTAAAGGAAACGATCTCATGCTTTGTTTTTGAGAGAAGGTTTCATCTGAAACAGAAACAGACACACATACCACGAGCCCGGTTACTATAGAACCGAAGAGACCTTTCCAGCTGTTTACACTTCGGATGTAAAATGGCAATTTGACATAGACTAACAGTGTGATGTGAGCATCTGCGTAAAAAGGCGACATATGGAGCATGCCCAGTGTGGGAGTGCGTCCTCCTCCCTCCGCCTCCCCCCTTCCCCTCGAGATCTCCAAAGATAAGGCTTGAACTTTGCACTTGCAAATGTCACTGCATACGTTTTTGCACTAGTTTTTTTTTTTTTTTTTTTTCCTGCGATTCTTTTACAACTAATTTCCTTTAACAATTTGAGCGCAGGGAAGAGAATGTTTAGGGTTATGAGATGCATTAAGTTTAGAACGAGTTGATGCCCGGCTTCTGAATGCACTTGAAGTCTTCTTTATTTTTAAAGCAATATAAAGCACTCGAGTGTGTGTTTTCAGCCCCTCCTGGAATGGGAAAATAAGAATTTCCCTGGATGGGAGTCCTCTGGGGCAGGGAGTGAAAGCCCCGGAGGCAGAAAGGGACGGAGCAGAGGGGCTTGCCCAGAGCATGGATAGGAAAGGAGCTGGGGTTCTCCGGGGCTCAGCGCGCACTGAGAACCTGTGCCCGGGGCTGCAGCTGCGGACGATAAAGGCGCTGTCTGGCTCATGAAGGCCACCTGGATCAGGCTTCTGAAAAGAGCCAAGGGAGGAAGGCTGAAGAATTCTGATATCTGTGTAAGCGCAAGGGCTTTCGTTTGGGGGGAGAGGTTATTTTGTTCTGCTTTTCTGTTGTTGCAGTGAGTGCAGGTAGAGAGGGTGGTTTGATTTGGTTAATCGGATCAAGATTGCAAGAGAGGGAAGCTAGGGAGATTCATCTCGTTTTTTGAGCTCCTTTCCCTGTGTTATGATTAATTGCCAGATGAGCTATCCCAGGCAGGTGTTTTCTGTAGACGGCTTTTTATTGAATCTAGGTAAAGGTATTTTAAAATGTGTTGCTGGAAGATGGAGTGAAGTTAGCTGCTAGTGTCTTACAGTTTTATCAGAGAAAACAGCAGGTGTATAAAAAGGTAAACAAGGATTCTTCAGATTAAAGTGGGAATCATGTCATGGTAGTGACATTTGGGAGAGTTCAAGTTGATAACTCAGACTTTCTTTCATGTTTTTGTTAGGCTTAATGTCTTTCTAGTTTTAAATACCTGCTTTAGCATGTAGATTGTTCTTGAAGCTATCCTTGAAACCCATCGTTGTCCTTCAGTTCTGCACTGCACCATCAAGCTGTTTAATTATAAAAGCAACTTGTTCTGGCTTCCAGGAAGGGTGGTTTTTTGGAATATAAAGCTTAGGAAGGAATGGCAACTCAGTAGACACAACTATTCTATTGAATGTCTGCAAATCAGAGCATGGTTTTCTAGATAGGTTGCTGCAAAATGAATTATTTTCTCCTCTTTTCAGGAACGTATAGCACAATCCGGGAAGCTAACTGCTGTGTCGATGAGACTTTTCCAATGCAAACATCATAGATTGAATCTACTTTAAAATGTACATTTTCCTCTCCAGGGTTCGGCAGACTCCTACACTAGCCGTCCATCCGATTCCGATGTATCTCTGGAGGAGGACCGGGAAGCAGTGCGCAGAGAAGCGGAGCGGCAGGCCCAGGCACAGTTGGAAAAAGCAAAGGTAAAATCATTTCCTTCCTGCCAAGATCTTTCTTTGCAAGTTGTGCTGTGCCCCTGATAGACCACCTGTGGAAGTTTCCCCTAAAACTTGTTTGATCTATTAGAGCATTTCATCGTCGGGTTTTAGAAAGGTACAAGAAATGGAGCCTAGTTTCTTCCCTTAGTAGAAAAGGGAAGTGTGTTGTATAAGACTGGTCGTCTATGTTGTTTTATAATCCAAGCAACTCGTTTCTGTGGGTGGATGGCTTATTTGGACACATACAAAAGGATCCCTGAATGTGCAAAGAGGAAAAACGGCACCTAATATCAACACATTTTACTTCATTTCCCCAGTAAATTATATCTCTGTTAAGAAAAAAAAAAAAAAAAAAAAAACAGACTGACTTCAAGCTATTATTTTCTTAGACTTGAACAGTTTTTCCCCTGAATTTTACTTCATAGGTGTTTTATATTAGTATCCTCTTACTTTCAAAATCGATTACATTATGCTTTTCAAAGAGCAACAAAGGATTTTATTGATTTTTAGAAGTTTCTTCTCTTAGAACATGTTCTTCTGCAGGATAAAGTGTGTATATATGGAGGGGAGACTGCAAAGCAGCTATGAAATAGATAGTTCCAGGATTTATCTCAGGTCTTGTCTCATTTAACTCATTGCAACGATTTGAATTCTTTTTCCCATGCTGTCCTTGGAATAGTGGCGATTTCTAAGGCATAGATTGTTCGAGTTGAAGGTAGCTTGGTTTTTGGGATACTCAGTCGCTTCCCAATGAACCTATTTTAACATGGTTGTTGATTTTCCTTTGAAAAACTTGTTTTGAAAAAGGCTAAGTGCCTTGTTGATCGTGCTAGAAATACCAGGATAGCATTTCTGCTGGCTGCTTCATCTCTGAGATGAGTAGAATCTATGTGTGTTGCTATGGGAATTGTGGTTAGGAGATTCTGGTTTGAATGCATGGACAGCCCTTATGTAATACATTATTCATGACCTCTAGCGCGGCTGCCATCCTAGTCTACTGAGGAACTGCCAGGAGACCTTGACTTCTAAAAAGCAGTACTTCTGTATATCAGAATGATGTTCTTACCTCAACTGGCAGGGAAATTTTCTCCAGGACTGACAGTCTTCTCTGAAAGGCAGTTCATAAATAGCAGATGCAGGGAGGGTTTTGTGATGGTGGAAACTGGTAAAACTGGATGTGGCCCAGTTGCCAACAACGAATCTGCTCTACCAATGTTAGCCACTTAGAACATTGTGAAGTTGAAATGAAATAATGAAGAACATTAAATAATGTATGACAGTCAGCACTGTAGTTAATATAGGTTGCAGCTGAGAGTCTGAATTCTATATTCTATATTTTGCATTGTGTGTAAAGAAAAGTAAAAAAAAAACTACAATTTGTATTCTGAAAATAAGATTGTTCTATTTGTGGCTAATTTATTCATGTAAGTTTCACATACCAAAATTGAACAGTTTCTCGGGCTCATGTCCCATCATGATACAGCCCAATAGACTGTAGGTTTGGTTCTCAATTGTTATCTAATTGGGGCATTTTTGTTCCTGACTCTGTGGCTACGTCATGAGTTAAATGACACTGCTGCAAAGACCTTTTAAAATATATTTCAACCAAGCATGGATCAAAATGTTGCTCCTAAATCAAACCAGGGTCATGTTACTTGTTCTACTGCCTAAAAAGTTGATAGTTAGGAATGATGTAGAAGACAAAAGAAAATGAAGAGACTTTAAAACAGAGGCAAAATAATTGAAAAACTATTTCCTGTGTTTAATGACAGATAGTTTATTTAATGGGTGAGATGGGAATGGTTAATGGGTACCAAAAAAAAAAAAAAATAGAACGAATGAATAAAACCTATATGATAGCACAATAGGGTGACTAAAGTCAATAATAACGTAATTGTATATTTTTAAATAAAGAATGTAATTGGACTGTTTGTAGCTCACAGGATAAATGCTTCAGGGGATGGATACCACATTCTCCATGATATGCTTATTTCATATTGCATGCCTGTATCAAACCATCTCATCTACCTCATAAATATATACATCTATGTACCCACAAAAATTTTTTTTAAATAGTTTATATTTTTCTTTAAAATTAGGTCAATATCTTAAACCTTTGATGTATTCAAATGACATACACGAGGGTAAGTGAGAATTTAAATGTGTCTGAAAAATACAAAGATGAGGATTGAATTTTCCTTTATATTAAAATCATGGTTTGGTAGGTCTGGTTTATTAATCCCAATATTCTTGAAGAAATAATGCAAAATAGGGATTGTAGAGTGCTAGCTCCCTCTATAAATTTTTACTTTTATCTTTAAAAATAGCCTCATTCTTTGCCAAAATATCATTGTGCCTTCATGAAACCTTCAAAATGAAGCCTTAAAGTTTAAAAACATAACAATTCATGCTATTTAACTTTAAATAGTTAAAAACACTTTGCACAGCCATTTTGGAAGAATCAGACATTTTCTACATTTACTTTATAACCATCAAAGCATCTCTCAAACAGAAAGACTTGACAAGTCAGTGCTTTTACTCACCTTACAGATCACATGTAATAAATAAGTCTGTGCCGATGACCTTAGCAGACCTGGTCCTGTATAAATACAAACACATTATCCACTAATTGCCTAATAATACCTCTATGAAAGAACGTGATTAGCAAGAAGTGAGACTAGAGATACTGTCTTTTAAAATTTAAGTGACCTGCAAAAGGTTATATAACGAAGTACTCTGTGCTGTCAATAAACCTAATACTCTCCGCTACCACTTTGTTAAGGCTTTTCTTAATGACTAAACTCTGCAGTGAACAGATTAGATGTTAATTTTGAGGCCAATACATACCAACTGACATGACATTGTTTTTTAACGTGGTGTTTTCTGGTTCCCAATATGTGTTTTGAAATTGTGCAGTTATGGCATACTTGGCAAATCCTGGTTTTTCAGTTTGTGCTCTCTGATATTACCTTAAAGACAAGTCATATATGAATCTAATTTATTCCCATGTTGATCTTCTCTTTGAAAACAACTTGATTGAGATATAATTCACCCATTTGAAGTGTATAATTCAATGGTTTTTAGTATGTTCAGAGGTGTTCAACCATCACTATAATCAGTTGTAGACCATTCTCATTGCCCCATACATTCCAAGCCTGTCAGCAGTCACTCTCCTTTTTCCCCAACCACCCCCGTCCCCAGGCCTAGAACCACTATTCAGCTTTTGTTTCTACAGATTCGTCTATTGTGGATATTGCATATAAATGGAATCTTACAATAGGTGGTCTTTTGTGAGTGGCTGCCTTTGGACATCTCGGTTGTTTCCACTGTTTAGGTATTGTGCATAATGCTAGTATGAACATTCCTGTATATATTTTCTGTGTGTGTGGGCATATGTTTTCATTTCACATATGTATGTACTTTGGAGTGAAATTGCTGGGTCACCTGATCATCTCTTTTTAATTGAAATAATAATTTTCTTCTTTTCTCCTTTAATTCTCAAAAAACGCTGTCTTCTGCCCTATATGCAGAGACTCTGAGTTGGGAAATCTGGATGTAGAAGGAATTGAAGCAGAGATAAGATAGATTCAGCCGGGCATGATGGCTCATGCCTGTAATCCCAGCACTTTGGGAGGCCGAGGCAAGTGGATCACCTGAGGTCAGGAGTTTGAGACCATCTTGGGCAACATGGTGAAACCCCATCTCTACTAAAAATATAAAAATTAGCTGGGTTTGTTGGCACATGCCTGTAATCCCAGCTACTTGGGAGGCTGAGGCAGTAGAATCACTTGACACTGGGAGGGAGAGGTTGCAGTGAGCTGAGATCTCTCGCTCTCACATGGGCAACAGAGCCAGACTCTGTCAAAAACAAACAAAAAACAAAAAAAGCAACGATGGACTCAATGTGATCTTCTTAGCCGAATAGAATAACCTTCAATCTTGAGTCCATTGTTCTTTTATCATTGAGTATCTCCTATATTAAAGAAAATGTGAGACCCAGTTGGTGAGTAGAAGGGACTGCAAGGCCAGAGCCACAAAGAAGAAATAGGCAGGTCTTTTGCATGTGAGAAGCTTCCATTGTTTCAGGAGAAAGTCGTGGTCATAAAAGGTGGAATACAATACATTGTGGGGAAGGCAGGGTTAGAGAGGTCTGTGAGCACCCAGGTTTAGACTGCATCCTACTGGCAGGAACAGAAAATCCTTCTTTGAGGAGGTGGTGGCTTAAAAGTAGACCTCACAGTAGGGGTCCGTGTTCTTTTAGGAACCAGGCTACACAGCAGGAGGTGAACAGCAGCATCCAGAAAGGAAGCTTCATCTATCTTTACAGCCACTCCCCACTGCTCACATAACCACCTGAGCTCTACCTCCCGTCAGATCAATGGCAGCATTAGATTCTCACAGGACCACAAACCCTTTTGTGAGCTGTGCATGAGAGGGATCGAGGTTGCGCACTCCTCATGAGAATCTAATGCCTGACGATCTGTCACTGTTTCCCATTGCCCCTAAATGGGACCATCTAGTTGCAGGAATACAAGCTCAGGGTCCCACGGATTCTACGTGATGGTGAGTTGTAGAATTGTTTCATTATATTTTACAATGTAATAATAACAGAAATAAAATGCACAATCAATGTAATGTGCTTGACTCATCCCAAAACCATCCCCAGACCCCAGTCCATGGAAAAACTGTTTTCCTTGGTGCCAAAAAGGTGGAGGAATGCTGCCTTACAGGATGGAGAGATTAAGTTTGGCTCTTGAAGTACAAAGAGGGATATGAAGAGAGAAATGCCTCCCAGGCCCTGGAATACAATGTATATAACAGTCAGTATAAGTAAAGGCTCCACGGCAAGAAAACATAGAACCTTCCAGAGAAAGGTTAGTTTCTTGAGAAAATGTCTTTACTCTACCTTCACATTTAATTAACAAATTGGCTGGTTGTAGTATTCAAGAATGAAAAACATTTTTCTTCAGATTTGTGAAGGTTTA